AAGAACCACTTGCAGCTTTGGGACACAGAGCTCTGGGCTTATCCTGGGATTAGGGTGACACTTGCTTGGCTGGCACGGGGAGCCCCAGCTGGTTTTGGGTGCCCCACACCAGGGGAGAAGGCTGGGGTGACTCCCCTGCCCCTTCCTGCAGGGTGGGCAGCTCTGGGCAGCTGGTGGCTGAGCAGAGCTGGGGACATGCAGGAGCCTGGGGAGCTGCTCCTGACCTGCCTGTTCTGCTGGGTCTTTGCAGCCTGGGTCAAGGCTGATGTGAGCAGCTTCAGGCTGTGCCCCAGGGTGAGCTGTGGAAACCTGGCCACCCTTCTCCATCCTCTCACACCTCCTATTTTGCCTTGCTCCAAGGAGAGCACTGGGCAGACAGGGTCTCCCAGGGACTGCTGGTGTCCTGTTCTGAGAGTGTTTCCAAGGTGGTCATTTCCTCCCTGTTTTACAGCAAATCCACCCACTAGGAGTGACAAGGAGTGTTACTGGGGAGCTCTTCAGGGACATCAGCCTTTGAGAAGATCATCAGAGGTGCCATGAAATCTTGCAGAATGACAGAATCTGAGGGGCTGGAAGGGACCTGGAAAGCTCCCCCAGCCCAACCCCCCTGCCAGAGCAGGGGCACCCAGAGCACATCACACAGGAACGTGGCCAGGGGGGTTGGAATGTCTCCAGAGAAGGAGACTCCACAGCCTCTCTGGGCAGCCTGACCCAGGGCTCTGGCACTCTCACAGCAAAGAAGTTCTTCCTGAGATTCACATGGAACCTCCTGGGCTCCAGTTTGCACCCAGTGCCCCTTGTCCTGTCACTGGACATCACTGCACAAAGTGTGATAGATCCCCTTCTCTTTCACCAGCTCTTGGCCAGAGCAAAGTCCTTTCTGGGTCACACAGCACATGAATGCAGCAGGGAGGAAGAGCAGGATCTCTCTCCATCATCCCTGCAGCACCTAAAAGTGTCAGGGCTATTTTTAGAGACCTAGAGGCTGCATCTGTGCAGCAGGTCTGTGGTGAACAGGGCTGGCTGAGCTGCACATGCAGCACAGGAGCTTTTCACCCTTCTTATTTCCCCAAGGAGACAGTTCAGTGCTCTTATACATCACTTGTGCTGGCTCCTTGCTCTTGCACTTCATAGACTTGAGCTTAGGGAGCTCATGGTGATTTTACAAAGCTGGTGAAGGGTTGTTCCATGAACCCCTGGCACCTCCAACCTGATGCAGAGCCTGTTGTGGGACCAGGAACAATACAAGGCCCTGCTTCCTCCTGTCCTGCCATCTCCCAGGGCCACTCAGGCTAGGATGGCAGTTTGCACAGCTGTGCACACACAGAGGTGAAGCTGGGCAGAGGTTTTCATGCTGTTGCTCAGGGCTTCAGCTTCCCAGCAGGGAAATGAGCTGCAGAGCCTGTGCTGAGCTGGTGGGGAAGGAATCACCCAGGGGGAACTGGGGAACAGGAATAGTGAGCTGGCTGGGGGCAGTGAAAGCCTTGATGAACCTGCATGGTTCACATCAGAGAGGATTGTTGGGCCCTGCCTCTCACCTGCAACTAGATAAAGGCATTGCCTCCTAATTGATTTGAATTTTGTTTTGAAACTCCTCATTCTGGTGTGTATTGACAACAGCCCTTTGGCAGGTGGGGAGGAGGAACACTCAGCTGCACCTCAGCCAGAAAAACAGTCACCATCATTCCTTCCAGCTTGGCTTCACCAGCATATGACAAATGACTCTTCCTCTCTCTGAATGCATAACTGGTTATTTGTACACAAATCACAGAGCATTTACTGGGCAGACCTGACCTAGAAAAAAAAGAGATCAGTCAAGAACTGTCCCAGCAGCTGTGAGTGTCAGTCACCAGATGATCTCCATATCATTTACAAGGCATTAAATTACAAAATAATGAATCTTTTCAGTTAGCCTTTTGGCACATGATGATAGGGTTACATTTTAGGGGAGAACATCGACCACAGCTCTTGCCCCATAAAACTGCAAACAGAACCTTGTGAGCATTGGCACCAGTTTTGCTTAGAAAAAGAAGCCCATTATGCTGGGATTACAGTTGAGCAATGTATGTAGAGCCTGGAGGTTGTCCAGTCACACACAGTTCTTTCCCCCTGCTCTTTTAACATTTCCTTAAGAAGGCTAGACAGTGGTTTCTAGGTTAAATGATTTTTTTTTTCTCACCCCCCTCTTGGATGTAGCTAGAGGGAAGGACTGCAGAGCAGAAGGTCTTCCAGGATTCTTGCAAACAAGATGCTGCAGCTCTGAGGGGCTGGGCCAAATTCTGCTCTCACCCACCCCAGAGCAGCTGAGCAGCCACCACGTGTGAGAACCCCACAAAGCACCCAGACCCCACAGAACTTGGGAACCTCATCTTTCTGCTTCTTCCAGATCACCTTTAAAGGTCCCTTCCTGCCCAATGCATTCTATGATGGTGGCAAGGGGAAAGAAGCAGCTTTAAAATGAGATGACAAGCTGACAGACAAAAGGTTGCCTGTTGGCAGCAAGCTGGCATGGGCACAAACTTCTTAGTAAAACTGAAATAATCAGGGGTTTTGCCTTGTAGAAGAGCACTTAGGTACTATATCTTGCAAATAGGAAGACGGTTTGAAATGCACCCTCATCCTCTTAGTGAATCTTTCCTCATTCCTTCTCTCTTCCATCCCTAAAACCAAAGTATTTGCTCATTAAGTACTATTTTTAACAAGCAGTTCATAGCAGGGCAGTGGAATGGGGGTGGCTCCTGCAGGGCAGTTATTGGTGGGTTCCCAAACCCCTTCTTCCCTTTGCATTGCAGTGGGAAGGACCATCTGCTGCCTACAGAAAACCCTGCCTGTGGTGAAGCCTGTAAAATCCCTCTTGGCTCACTCTGTGTTTTGATCTGAAGTTCTGGAAACAGCTTCTCTGAAATCCATACACTTTATAGGAAGCTTTGAAACAGGCTCATCAGGCAAAGGAAATGGGAGTTTTAAAAAGCTCTCTAAGCAGCTGGGTTCAGGCCTGTGTGGGCAGGGCAGTGGTGCTCACTTTGGGTCTGGTTAAATGGCAAATCCTGATGCCTCTGAAAACATCTCATTGCTTCTCTTGGAGACCAGCTTTTCCCAGCTGCTGACAACCCCCTGGAACTGCCTGTGCCCTTTTCCTGCCACATGGATCTCATTCCACCAACGAGTTGGAATGGTCTGTCCTTGTTTGCAGGCTTTGTTTCTGCTGCCAAGTGCTGTTGTCCTGGGGTCTTCTGTCTACTCAGTACAGCTGTAACTTAAAGGTGAACTCTAATAGTCTGGCTGTTCCTACACCCTGCAGGAGTTGATCATGTACTTCTCTGCAGCAAGACCCCAAAGCCAGGGGCACTAGATGTGCAAAAGTCCCTTCAAGGCTAAAAAAGGTCTCTGGGATCTGTCTCAGCCTTGGTAAGAAACTGACTTTTGCATTCAAAGTGAACATAGTGCTAAAGAAATATGCCCTTTCAAGCAGAACATTTTGTTTGCAGCTGAATTCTTTTCACACTCGAGAAAACTCTGCTGTAAGGAGCAGTCACATTTGTGTAGCTCTCAGTTATCTCATGAGGCTTCATCTGGGGGACTTCAGATAAACAGTGAGTGGGAAAACATCTGTTCAATTCATATTTTGTCTGCCTCTTTTTGGTGACCTAGTCCTGGAAGTAGATGGTGCTGCCCTGTGGAAAATGGAGATGACTGATCTAACACCTCATAACTTCACAGTTTTACAAGTGATATATATATATTATTTTTTCTCATGTATGTGTTTTACAGCAAAGCATCAATCAGCCTGTCAAGGTCAGTGCAGCTTCCAACATGAAGGGATGGCTGGAGAAATGAGCCTTGTTGTAAAATGCAACAAGATACAAATAGTTCATTTTCCATCTATTGATATAATCAGCCTATAGAAGGGAATGCAGGATTTGTACTAAATTAATTGCAAGCCTTGCTGGACCAGACTAAGGAGTGCAGCAAATTCATTTTACTTCTCTTTTGCAGTTTCTTTGCAGCTTTCTAGTTTAATTAGCTGACTGTCTAGCAAACCCCAGCAATCAATCACTCACAAGACCTTCTCTTAATTGCATCCTCTGACACCAATTGTCTGTATCCAACCAGGCTCCTTGGGAAGGTCAGGACTCTGTGGTTCTTCAGCCACACACTAAGAGATTTGCCCTTGCAAGAGCTCTGGGGTTTCAGGCTCTTTCCTTCAGCTGATTTTAGAGTCCAGCCCTTACCAGAAGTAGTCACATCTCCTGGGACATAAAAGCCCAGGTGCAACAGAGCAGTAATGGGCTCTTTACTTCTCTCTAGAGGTGGCATTTAAAATACATTAAAAGGCAGCTTAATCTGACCAAAATGAATTTTTTTCTTTCAAACCTGCATTATTAATTATTCCTTTTTCTTCTTCTTTTTTTCTTCTATCACCCTGCACCCATTTTACCTGCTTTCACACCAGTTATTCCCACTTTAAACCTCTTTTCACCCAGTACATTCAGCATGCCCAGTGGAGCCAGAATGGAGAGTCTTGCAGTGAAATGAGGAAAAGCCAAAAGCTTTTATTATGCCTTTTTAAGCAAACATACATAATGTGTGAAGTTATTGAGTTAACATAGGATGATGCATCTCCAGAAGGCATGAAATCTTGGCAGGTATCTCTAAGAAAATCAAATTTTCTATCTCACAACTGGTCCCGTGTCAACTGCTGGGGGGAAGATGCCAAGTGTTGGCATCTTCTGATTTAAAGAAGCTTCTCTTCCCTCCTTAGCATATATTGTCACCCATCCAGATCCTCCAAAGGGAGATCCATTGGGATTTCTATATCCCATGTGTGTTGCACCTGATGGGACCATCTTGGTGTAAGGATTTGTCTACCTGTGTAGTTACCCACCACCAACTTGTCTTCATTAACACCACGTGTGAACCCACAGGGTTCTGAAGCAACCACTTCACACCTGGTGTTAATCAGGAGTTAATGGAGGATAACTCCATGTGTGAACATCTCCCTAGAAGTGGGATTCAGATGTTGGGTCTCCTCCATTGGTGATAGCCTGGTCACTTATCTCATCCTGTGGTGCTGGTAGGGCTGTCTTTGTCAGGGGTGTCTCAGTCTTGAACAGAGAATCCATTTTTATCTGGGTTTTTATGTTGAAGGACTTCTGGAAGGATTCTGATGTAAAGTAGTAGATGAAGGGGTCAAAGCAGCAGTTGAGGGTTGCGATGCACAAGGTGATGGGGTACATGGTCCTGGCAAACCTCTCCAAGGAGCAGTTTGCTATCGTTTGGGACCTCACCAGGGCGTAGAGGAAGAGGATGGAATTGTAAGGCACAAAGCACACCACAAAAATAGCCACGTGCACAATGATCATTTTCAACACTTTCTCTTTGTTTGTCCCAATCTGGGACAAGGTGGCAGGTTTCCTGAGAGTCCTGAGAACTAAGGAGGAGCAGGTGAGGTTGAGCAGCAAAGGGATGATGAATCCAACCACTTCAATAAATATAGTGATCTTAGACAGGTAGGTTTTCCAAATCCGTTTGGAGAAACCTTCGAAGCAGGTCGTGCTGGTGTTGGAAATGTTGGTCGTGGAGAAGAGTGAAGCTGAAATCCCCCCACTGAGGACCAGGATCCAAACACCAGCACAGACTATGGCAGAATTTCTCCTGGTCCTGATGGTGCGGGAGCGGAAGGGGTAGACGATGGCGAGGAAGCGGTCGACGCTGATGCAGGTGAGGAACAACATGCTCCCGTAGATGTTGGTGAGAAATGCTGTGCCAGAGATCTTGCAGAGGCTGTCTCCAAAAGGCCAGTGCCTGTTGACGTTGTAAAAAATCTTAAAAGGCAGGGTGAAGACAAAAAGCAAGTCGGACACCGCCAGGTTGGTCATGAAAATGGCGGTTTCGCTTCGCATCTTCATCCGGAAGCAGAAAACAAAGAGGGAGGCACAGTTTGTAACCAAACCAAGGATGAAGACCACGCTGTAGACAGCTCCATACAAGTTGTACTTGAAGGTATCATCTGTCAAACAGGTATGGTTGCTGTGGTTTCCCATGCCAAGTTTGTGATGTGCTCCTGAGGAATGTCAAAGGCTACTTGAGTGACATCCATAAAATAAGGCAGTGAGCTCTTCTCTTCCTGGAGAAACTCATTCCAGGGAGGTTGCTTGACCCTTTGCTACTGTGTTTTGGTCATGAATCCTTTCATCCTAAAGGAAAAAGAAACAGAAGGCATCAGTCTTTCAACCTCCTATCACCTGGAGTCTGTACAAGGGGGCACACACTCCTCCCTTTCCAAATGAAACGACCTGCACACAAGACCAGCATGAAGTTTAGAAACATCAATTCCACCATTACTGGGATTTTTCAATGTAGAACACAAGTTTCATTCCCCCATCATCCTTCTCCTCTTGGAAGAAGAGTGATCACCAATTCCAACTTTCTGTTTGGAAAGGTTTTCCTTGAAAATCTGAGATGGATTTAGCCCAGTGTGTTTGGAAAGAAATAAAACCACAGACCCAGGATGTTGCCCAGGTATAGAATCCAACAGTCTGAAATGTTCACCTGCATTTGTGACAAGGAGAAAGGAGTTGAAAGTTTTAGTGTTTGATTTTAACTGCTCAGGAATCTATAGTTTTCCAACCTCTTCTGATACAAAGGTATTTTAAAACCCCAAAACTCATCTGACAAAGTGCTGCTTTGCCTTTTTGTTCTTGTGCTTGAAAATAGGAGCAGCCTTACTCATGTTTTTCAAGGTGAAAGCTGAAATGTATTTCAGGAATGGTTCTCAAAGAGACCCTCCGAAGTCCTGCTTGCCACTTCTGGAAAATGGTGCTTTTCTTTTCCTTAACATTCTGCAAAAATGGTATCACTTTCAAAAGGATGGTTTTTTTGCAAATGTAAAATGCTTTGCAAAAAGGGCCCCCCTGAGCTGCAGTGACAGCTCCATTTCTATCCTTTTGTCAAGGTTCAGAACCTGAACTTTTGGAAATCTCAAACTACACACTCAGATTTCTTTCCCAGTTCAGCAAGCTTTGGAGAATCATAGAATGGTTTGGGTTGGAAGGGACCTGAAAGATCATCTAGTTCCACCCCCCTGCATGGGCAGGGACACCTCCCACCAGCCCAGGCTGCTCCAAGCCCCATCCAACCTGCCCTTCAACACTGCCAGGGATGGGGCAGACACAGCTTCCCGGGGGAAACTTGGCCAGGCTTTGCAGTGACAGCTCCATTTCTATCCTTTTGTCAAGGTTCAGAACCTGAACTTTTGGAAATCTCAAACTACACACTCAGATTTCTTTCCCAGTTCAGCAAGCTTTGGAGAATCATAGAATGGTTTGGGTTGGAAGGGACCTGAAAGATCATCTAGTTCCAACCCCCTGCATGGGCAGGGACACCTCCCACCAGCCCAGGCTGCTCCAAGCCCCATCCAACCTGCCCTTCAACACTGCCAGGGATGGGGCAGCCACAGCTTCCCTGGGCAGCCTGGGCCAGGCTCTCACCACCCTCACAGCAAAGAATTCCCTCCTCATGTCCAACCTCAATCTCCCTCTTCCAGTTTTAATCCATCCCCCTTGTCTTCTCCCTCCCTGCCCTTGTCCCAAGCCCCTCCCCAGCTTTCCTGGAGCCCCTTCAGGCACTGGAAGGTGCTCTAGGGTCTCCCTGGAGCCTTCTCCTCTCCAGACTGAGCAGATACAGGCTGCTCAGATACAGGCCTGTGCTGTTTACCTCTCTGACACTGAGGTGTTTAAATAAGCTGACAACTTGCTTTGAAACTCAACCATGTGCTCTGAATTCTGCAGCATGAAGCTACAGATTTGGTTTCCAAATGTAAAATCCACTTCCCTGCCTTCCCACTGTAGGTGAAAGCAGTGGGATCCTTCTCACCACCATGTTCACCCCTGCTCTTGCCTCCCTGGGAGGAAAAACCCTGGCAATGTGGGTTTAAGTGCTCAGTGAAGAACAGAAAGCAAAGCACTTGGTCATTCTGCATTTCAGGATGGTCAAAACTTTAAATTCTGTGTCTAAAATGGGGACAGCAGATGAGAGGAAGAATGTACCTCCCTGTTGTAAGAAGTGGTACCATAATGGAATATCAGGAGGAACTTCTTTGCTGTGAGAGTGCCAGAGCCCTGGGCCAGGCTGCCCAGAGAGGCTGTGGAGTCTCCTTCTCTGGAGACATTCCAACCCCCCTGGCCACGTTCCTGTGTGATGTGCTCTGGGTGCCCCTGCTCTGGCAGGGGGGTTGGGCTGGGGGAGCTTTCCAGGTCCCTTCCAACCCCTCAGATTCTGTCATTCTGTGAACATTCAGCCTGTTTAATGTGGTAATACTGAGAACGTTGTCTCTTAGCAGGCAGGGTACAAGGAAACCTACAGTTGACTCATGTTCCTCTCAGAGCTAAGAAGTG